TTTTATCTTTTAAACTAAAAGAGATAGACCGTAACAAATATATATCAAATTAAATAGTTCAAACTGAACTTTATTCTAATGGTTGCTTTCAAAAGCTATCTGTGTTAACGAACGGAGAGGTATGCATAATTTTTTTATAATGTGAATATTTCGATATAATAAAAGTTGTAGCACTGTTTGAAACGAATACAACGATGTATGATATAATATAAATATTTTACATATTATACGAGTTTTATCGACTTGAAATATCGCGGGCGACGTCTACCTTTTCACTTTCTGCCCTGCGTTATGGCCAACTTCTGATTCGTGCATAAGAGCCGTGGCACACAAAAAAGCAGTATGACTTAAGACGTAAGCGAAGTTTAAAAGTTTTGAGTTTTAAATTTTAATTTTTTTGGGATGGAGCAATATAATATTACTATATTGAAACAAAAATAAATTATATTATTAAAATATAAAAAATGTAATATGTGATGTGTACTAGTTTGTGTAGCGGGCCGAGAAAACAGGCAACTCGGAGAGGATCAGAGAAGCTTAAGCAATATGGGATATTTGGACAGAGGATTGCCTCATGGGGTTCCTATGGATGACATATCTTGCGGAACAGGTTACTCACTGTGGAAGCCACCTGGCAGTAATTATTTCCCGCGTGGCGAGGCGCCTCCGCCCTACGAGGAAGCAATTGCTGCTGCGAGGGCGGAACAGCTACTATCAATGAATCCGCACACACTATTATCGATGAATTTCTCCGATAATTATATGCCAAATATTAATAATCACACAAGCATGTCGGTCGTCGCGAACGCACAAAACGAATTAACTGTAAACACGCAAGGATCATCCAACGATAATCATATAAGCACACCTCTGATGTCTTCGTCGAGCAGATCGCTTTCTAGTCCTAGCGCATATGCATCTGGCAATTATCGATCGGTAAGTCAAAATATCAATGCGACGTCCACCGTTGGTCTGAATACTAGCACATCTACTACGAATTTCACAATGGGAACAAACATGTATGAGAATCTACCCATTTCATCAATCAGTACGACTAGTTTCAACCACAGCCAACATTCTGAGATGAATAGCGTTAGTACGCAACAACCACTATTACCGATATCACATTCTACTATTCCCAAGAATTATCGTCAGCACACGACGATCTTTCCGCGCCAGAGCGATGCTGGCGCGTTTACGATATCGGCGACTCTATCTAATTCAGACATGTCTTCCCATCGCACAATTTCGCGAACGTTAACGTCTCGCATTACCGGTAGAGCGAAGGACGTTCTGACCGATTACTCAGCGAAGGACTATCTCCCCTTATCACCGAGCAGCGTCGCGGAACCTCATGAAAGCTCGTCGCATTCCGTGCAATTGTCTGCTGTTGCAACTTGCCCGAATAATTACAAGAATGCTACCAAAGATGTGGACACGTTTTATACGGATGATACTCCAATAGCATCAGCGTCTAGTTTAGTAGCGCAATCCGAAACGTATAAAGTAAACACGGCAGACGTATCCGAGAAGACTCGCGAATACACAGTATGTAATAATAATTTATTGTAATATAAATTTTATTGAGAGGCGCAACATTTATTAAATACGAAGTTTTATCTGCTATAGCCTTCGTTGAGTGCAGCTAACGAGATGAATGCGAGCGGCAGCTTTGAATCAATGACGTGTACATGCAGCATGCAAGCGTTATCTACTCTGCACGATGACACAGACGACTATCGAAGTGAATGCGAGAATTGCAAGAGTGCGACTGGTTCTCGTTACTATCTAGATAACGAAGACGAGCTAGTCACTTCTCTTCATGAAACCATGACATTACACAGGAGACCGGACGAAGCAACATCAAATGCCACACCACAATATTATAGAACTTCACTTACACTGCCGACGAGTACACGCCAACGTACAAGGTGATATATATTTGATTAATATCGTTGAGTTATACAATTTTGTAGCATTTTTTTATTTGATACATTAAATTATTTTTAGAAACTTTATTGAAACTATTTATATAAAGTTATATTTGTGTCAATACTTAAGATGATGAATTATGCACATGAAAAATTTCCTACATAGATTTTAAAAATATCTTTGTATTTAGGATTACCGGGGCCCGTGAAAACTGGTTCAACACTATGCCAGAAAGTTCTAGCGGGTCTTCGGATGAAAACTAAGAATGAAGAAAATAGAGAAAAATGTTTAAATGTGCAAATAAGATTATTATACATGCATACAGATATATATATATATATATATATTTGCATGTGTACACAATTATCAAAATTATCTATACAGAGTGTCCCAGAATAATTGCACTTCTGTTCTCGGATGAGATTGTTGGTTGAATGTCAGTGCAATAATAATTTTTGCATCGTATTAAAATACAAGATAAAAATATACAGACCTTATATAATATTTATCACAATATAAAAAAAGAGCTCTCTTAAAAAGCTTCACAAGTCTCTCCATTTTTTCCATACAATTGCAGTTTCAAGTCTTCCAAAATTCCCTAACTTCCCTATACTCTATGTAACATTTGAGAGAAACTGCCAGTTTTTGGGACATCCTCTATAGTTATCCTCTATTATACATCATAATCGTGTCGCCATCATTATTATCATTGTTATCATTGTTAAACAATGGAAGTTTGTGAAATCTTATAGTGAAGTTAATAATCTAGAATAAATCAAGCAAAGTTCAGTGGGAAATTTCACAGTAAAATTATGCAAACTTCCGCATTGCATCAGTATTACTACTATCACTATTCTTATTATTGTTGTTGCATTATTGTGTTACCATGACAATTTCTTTTTGTTAATTTAGTTTATTCGCCGAACGAGAAAAATTTTGTTAAATTAAAAGAATTATTACACAAATTTTAACAATAGATCTTTACTGTAAAAAAGTAGAATAAATTCATATCTGTATATGTATATGATATTAGGAGAGAGTCATAAAAAATTATGTAACAAGTCATGAAATTCATTTTTTCATGGAATGTCTACAAACGCGAAATATCCATTAATACACACACACACACGTACATATATACATATATATACTCACACACATGCACACAGACATATATATATATATATATATATATTGCAAGAAATCGATTTATATAAAAAAATTAGAATGATTCCATTAAAAAAAAACTATGTTGACCTTGATATAACCTTGAAAAAACGACTTTAATTAAAATTTAATATTATAAACTTTTTTCTCTCTCAAAACTATCAATTTTGTCGAAAATATTTTTTGTACGATTTTGTCAAGTTTCGAAGAACACTTTGTNTATAAATTGTATTATTATATTTGTTAATGTAGATATATAAGTTGCCTAGACGCGCCGCACCGACGAGATATTAAAGCGATCGTATGATGAATTTTTGTGAGTACGAGTGAGCCCGACGCTCCCGGGGATAATTGGAGAATATTAATATTATTTTAGATCGTTTTCGACGATGAAAATATCTAAAGATGCGCATTGTTAAATTTATAATTTACAATTACGTATATTTTATAGATATGTATGTATAAGGATTCGCATCGATAAAATTCGGTGATTGAAATAATTTTCTTCATTGAGTTGGAAATCGAGTTCAAAAAACCGGAATAGTTCTTAGATGTCTTATTAGACGGTAACCAAATCAAATATTACTTTAATTCGGGTCTCCGATGATTATGAACATTTATGCAGCGATATATATATTATATACAGGTTGTTTCCGAAATAGGTGGTCAAACTTTAAGAGCATATTCTACTCACTATAAAGATGAAAAGAAGTTATGTAAACATGGGTCTGGGAACACTTCTTTTTCAAGTTATAAACATTTTTTATTTATATCGGACAACATGCCTCGCATCGACATTTCATGAATTGTCCTTCTATTCACTTTCTATTAGAAGTAAACAAGAAGTTTTATTTATGGACATCTTAAGACTCATTTATGATACTCCTGTGTTATTGTGGAAGTACTCCGAAATCATATTATTGCTTCATGCGTGGCAAAATATGAAATACTCTGGGAATTTGTGAATGTCTTCGACAATTATGCGACGTCGATGCAAGGCATGCATTAATATGGAAGGAAATCATTTCCAGCAATTTCTATAATGAAATTTTCTTATAGTTTCAAATGTTCTTAAAGTTTGTAAATAAAAAATGTTTATAACTTGGAAAGAAAGCGTTTCCGAACCCATGTTCATATGACTTTTTTTATCCTTGTAGTGAGTAGAATATGCTCTTAAAGTTTGGCCACCTATTTTTGAAACACCTTGTGTGTGTATACAGGGTGACCTTTAGCCGGGCGCACGTCGGTGAGCCGCGCGCCGTGAAGTGTGCGCTGCCGCATACAACCAGGCGCGCGGCTCACCGGTGCGCCCGGCTAAAGATCGGCGCTGATTGGCCAGACTTTACTCAATAATGACTACGTTTACACGTCACCCCTAAACGGGTTTAATAACATAGTAGTTCTAAGGCTGACCAATCACAGTCATTCCATTCTTCAGAGGAATAGCTGTGATTGGCCAGTTTTACAACTAGGTGGCCAACAGAAAATAGAGGTGAAGGAAAACCAAGCATTCATATCATTTCAGTTGGAACCCTGCTAATTATAACCGTTGGTTCATCTAACCGGACTTGGTGAAATTGGCCCTAAGGGTGCCGTGTAACAGAGCTCTCTATTAAGCGTTATAAAAAAAATGATAGAGGACTTTTCGACTCAGTTTGGTCCGCTCTATCTGCACACGAGTATTGTCCCAAATGATCTGGGACACCTTGTATATATATACATATTTTTATGAAACCGCATTTTTTTATTTAAATGTATTTATTTATTATCCCAGTCAGCCACGTCTGTTCTAACAGATATTGCCAAGTGCTTGCTACAAATTTGGTACAAGAGTTGTTGTTACCGATTAAGTTGGCAGATTGCCGGCAAGAACCAAGCAAACTTTATGTTAACATAACTAGACAGCAAATTGGCGGCAGAAACCGAGCAAAGCTTGCTGACATGACTGATATCAGATTGTCGGCAAAAACTGAGCAAGATCTGGAGTGCGCAATCTGATGGCAAATTGGCAGCAAAAACCGAACAGAATCTGCAGCTCATTACAAAGTATTATAAAATAGTTCAATCGCTTATCGCTCTGCGGCGCGTTATTCATTATCTATACCCGTATTCAAATTCTTGTCATGAGTGTATATAAAGCCTGCAAAAGGGGGCTCCACTTCCGGAAGATATAACCTAACCCAAACCTATTTCTGATTTAAAACTAAAATTTGGTTTGGGTTAGGTTATATCTTCCGGAAGTGGAGTCCTCCCGTAGGGGGGGGGGGGGGGCGGAACCCACTGTGTGCACGCATATACTTTACAAAACAAAGCGAAGTTCGCCCCACAATTGTTGTGTGGATGGGAAAGTATATGCGTGGACGCAGTGGGCTCCATTATAAAAAAACTAGACACATAGGTTTGCGTTGAACCTCGCTTTGCGTGGAAAGTAAAAAAACCCAAAGAGCTTTGTCTCTAGAAATGTAAAGAAACACTTTTTTCACGTCTGATCTACATAAATACAATGTAAACAACCTTTATTTTTCTTTATTTTATAATAGAAAAATCATTAAAATTGTGAAATCATAACTTTAAATATCTCAGAAACTATAAGAGACCGCCGGTTAAGTTATAAAGAAAAGTTACTCAGGGTCATGTCCTTGACAACATATGTCAAGGTCAAAGTCATCGGTGAGGTGTAACCTAATATGTATATTTACCGCTCGGTTTTTGCCGTCAATTTGCTGTCAGGTTATGTCAGCAAGCTTTGTCACCAAAACACAAGCTTAATGCGGACACAGATGGCACTGGATTTGTTATCAAGTTTTGAGCGAATTTGATGCCAATTTGTTATCAAATTGCTTACTGAGATATTATTGGTGATTCTCATTTTTTAGCTATAATATTTCCTGGCAGGATGTAAGTGTTCCAAAGTTTCAAATTTTTATTTTTTGGATTTTATTCGAAGTTTTATCAAAGACAGGATGTTTTTATACATTTATACATTCATTATACATTTATTTTCCAGGATATTTGAGATTGAGGAAGTATTACTACGTTAGCGACTGATTTTTTATCAAATTTCCGATGGGAAACAAAATTGACTTTACATTCATCGAAGAATCTGTGATTCCTTATGCTTTGCTACTATGTAGATATATGTATAAAAAAAAATTTGGCTATATATTGTAACATTCAAGTCGGAAAGTAACAAAAACTGGAAGTGCCGAAGTGTTGACATTAGGCGAGTTGATAAAAATGAAAAAAATTGTAAGAAGTATTTTAATTGTAAATTGTCTATAATTCGAGTAGAAAAAAGAACAGAAAGAGAGAGAGAGAGAGAGAGGTGCATATAAACATTAGTATGATTACATAAGCTGCGTTTTCTTTTGAATTTAATTGTGGCATTTTTAAAATAGGGTAAGAACAGTATCGAGAAGTTTTTATTTCAATATTTACGATATCTATATATCATCTCGACAATTCACACAACATTCAAAATCTGGATGATAATTTTTTGCAATTGTAACATGAAACTTGTTTAGATTTCTTGGAATCTCTTGTAACTTGTTATTCTTATCATACTATGAAATACAAATGATTAGCAAATAAATCTTTTCTTCCGATTGATCACAATACACTGAATGAATCTGTATATTTCTTGTTTTTTTTATCTCGTTTATTTTGAAAGAAAATATACAAAAAACCACAAATAAAGAACAAATTGTGCATAGAAAAAGAAAACAGATGATTCTTGTAAGTATGTATAATTTTTAACAAATCATTCCAATTATATTGAAATGATATAATAATAAAAACATTTTGTTATTTTTAGATCTTAATATTGTGAAGAAAATTTGCTTGATGCAATCGCAGATTAACCGTTTGATGAAATTAATGATACAATTCGATTAGAAAACGTGACGTTAATACAAAATAATTTATAAACAAGGTATTATACAAATAATATTATCATTTTATTTCAGTTTTTCATGATTATTTATGATATACTTTAGAATTACAACACTTATATTCTTAAAGAAGTTTTTTGTTTAAGATGACATTTTTAATATTAAAATTAAATATTATCGAAATAGTATAACAAAAACAAAAAAATATTTTTAGATCTGCATTGCAAGGAAAATTTGATTGATGCATCTGCAGAACAATCGTAGTTATAATGATGAAGTTAATGCAAACGTGCTAATCCGACTAGAAAACAAGATATTGAATTCATTGATTAATAAGCAAAGTACAATGCACGTAATTCTATTTTAGTTACAATTATTTTTTTATATATCTTAGAATTATAATATTTATTCTTCAACAATTTTACCGGAATGGTCCCAGCAAACACAGTTATGTAACTATCATATTGTCTAAATATAACGATGAAATATAACATGCTCGTTGTAACATAAACGTTAGTTGTAATTTCCCACTCAAATGACATTAGTTATGTTATTAAAATATTATATAATTGTTACCAAAATAAGTAAAACATTATATAATAGTTATATAAATTGTGGAAAAATAATATAATTATAATATAAAGTATTGAACAGTTATATATAACGCTATTATTTTATTTGTTATGAAATTGTTATATAACACTATCCGTATTTTTGTTATATTTTTTTTACCAAACGCAAATTTTGGAAATTAAAATTAGATTAGTGTGTATATTATCTCTTGAATGTTTATTTCCATTTCTATTGCATTATTGTATTGCAGTATTGTAGTATTGTATTTTCCTATTGCAATATTGTATTTTCATTGTCCTCCATCCTTAAAATATTTTGTATATTAGCTTTTTAGCTTCTTTTACATACACACAACACATGCAACAATTACATGTGTGACTGTGCGATCCGCTCGAATTATGAATTCAGCGGATTGTCGGCGTATCAAAAACGGCGGATTGTCTGTGATTGGTCGCAGAGTTCAATACGCCCGATACGCGCGTATCGCAATACGCGCCATGGGACGGCACCCTTAGGTAACATTTCATGAGCAGTGAAAAGCAGCAGCAGTTTAGAAAGTAACTAGAATCGGTGACGTACTTCCGGCGCGTTTTTTTGGAAAAGCAGAGCTTTCATTGGATATCGCTCATCGCTTATCGCGTCCAGTGTGCGAGGACCATTACACTAATCCGCTGCATGGGTTTGCACCCAAAAGCCCGTATCAGACTACGCATTGAAGATTGAGATTCAAGATTCAAGATTGAAATTAGACCAATCAGAATAAAGAAATTTTAGTCTTTTTTGTTTTGATTGGTCAAATTCCAATCTTTAATCTTCAATTTTCAAATTTCAATGCGTAGTCTGATACGGGCTTTAGAGAGAATTCACACCTTGGCAGAAAAGCAGAAAGCAGAAAAGCAGAGCCCAATCAGAATTCGCGCTAGAAAAGTAGAATGTACTGCTTAGGGTGCCATTACATGGAGCGCGGAAACGCGGATTAGCGTAACGCGGAACGAGAGTGAAACCAATCGCGAGCATTCTGCAGTTTTTGTTACGCTCGCGATTGGTTCCCTTCTCGTTCCGCGTTACGCTAATCCGCGTTTCCGCGCTTTATGTAATGGCACCCTTACTATCAGCGCGTGTTCTGATTGACTTCTGCTTTTCTAGCACGAGTTTTGATTGGCTTCTGCTTTTCTGCCAAGGTGTGAATTCTCCCTTATGGCTCTCGCACACTGGACGCGATGAGCGATAAACGATATCCAATGAGAGCTTCCGAAAAAGCAGAGTTCTCATTGAATATCGCCCATCGCTTATCGCTCATCGCGTCCAGTGTATGAGGGCCATTAAAGAATCCCATTACTGACCACATGATTTCCGATTTTTCTCGTCTTTTCCTTGGCCTTGGCCTTCTCGAAAGTATCATCGTGCTGCGCACATGTACTAAAAAGGTAATCCTTATTTATTTCAATACATTCAGTAATAAACGCTGTATAAAATAATAAATTATTAATTAGCCCACATATTTTTTCCTATATTTTTCATAATATTTTCTATGCATTTGTTAGTTTCCTGTAAAATCAGTGTGACGTCCCGTCATGTTTTAAAACCATATTTTAATTAATAATTAAGTACCGCATGTATTTCTGCATTATGCCTATGGAATACAGAATAATTATTTAACCATTTGCTCTTATTTCTATTATTAATCAATTTCACTAATTGCTTATTGTTCTGGTTTCATATGGTTATTTAACTTAGAAATTAACTATATTTTACTCCTTTTAATAGTAATAATCGATTACGCAAGAAATTACAGATTCCTTGGACCGACTAATCGAAAAACTTTATTTAGAACTAGGCAGCTGCGCAGTAGTAACTTTCTAGAACTGACCGACGGTTACTTTAAGAACGGGCCCGCGATCAAACTTTAATCCTGTACGATTGCAGCTCTGTCTATCGCGACATCGCGGAACTAATCTACTGCTCTGTTTTACTCTTTTGCCTCAATCTCGCACGCACACATATGCATGAAAGCATTTCGAGTGAAAATCTTTTTTACTAGACTAATAAACTTATTTCTATAAGTTCACTAATATTCCTTCATGTTATCCCGAGGCGGGGAGCTATATCTTGTGCACGAACAAACTGCAGAACTTTTATATTAAATAAATATTGTTACGACTTGACGCAAGAAGTCGATAACATCACTGTAATTGTTTAACTTTTCTTTGCTTTGTTATATGAAATATAGCATAGTAAAATGCGCGCAATAATAATTTGTTAAAAACATTTCTCTTACACCCTTTGCTAATAATTATCAACTTTCAATATCATCCAAATTTTAAATATAACATAAAGAACAATAATTTGATGACTTCATGATAACTAATTAAAAACAAATTATTATAAAACGTTTCCATAAAGAGAGCACTACTATACTATATACTATCACTACACTATGAATTAATATGTGCCCATACAGCACTGAAGCTTGCAACAACATTGCTGCAACATTGCAATATTACATATTGCAGTGTAATGTTGCAGAAATATTGCAAAGACATTATTTTACAATATAACTTTAGCAATGTTACAGCAACATTCCGAAAATATTACAAAAAAAGTATTCGATAATCGCTAGTTCATTCGTTTACCGCATTATATAAAGTTTACAAAGAGCGGCTAGTAAGATTAAAGATATAATAAATATTTTTATTAGTTTAAGTTGTGTGTATGATATGACCCCAACACAGGGAACTCAGACATTGGACTAAAAATTCTTTTAATAGTTTCCATTCTTATATAAAATAAAAAATTTGATAATAATTTTCTAATATGCAAGATACTTCAGATTTTAATAAATAAATTTTAAGATTATATAAAGACAAGAGAGATGTGAAAAAACTCGTTGTATGCGTAAATCCAGCACGATCTTTTTGCATCCGGATATCTGAATATTTCGGATACAAAGATATTGTAAATTTACACAATTGCAAATTCAGTTTTTTCTTATTTGTTTTAAATATTCTCTGTTACTGAAGAAAGTCGAATGTGCACCGAAAAATGTACATTTTATAATTTTGTTATTATAATACAGAAAATCTATATACACACTAGATCCTGACTCTTATACGCCTAATCTCTTATTATTTTTTTCATATGTAAGGATATTATTGTCGATAAATATACATAAAGTATTATTGCATATATATTATATTGCTATGTTGCTGCAATATTATATTGCAATATTTCTGTAGGCGGACATTTTATTGTTGCTGCAATATCATAACAACATTGCAGCAATATTTTGCAATGTTTCTGCAATGTTGCAACCTTGCAGAAAAATGTTGCTGCAATGTTGTTACAATCTTACGGTGCTGTATGGGTGATGAAATCTTAAAAAGCTAAAAGTACACACATAGACAACTCTTAACATTAGATTATATAGATTAGATAATTTTAATCATTAGATTAGATAATAAAATTAAATGTACCTGTACTCAAGATTCGATGTTTCATTTCTCGGGTGGAGATTCATCATAATTGGAATTTCTCCCAAAGAACATCGCAGATACTGTGTTAAATTATGATGATGACGTACATCGAGTTTTATAAAGATATGTTCACCCAGTTGACTTGTACAAGTTAATTTTCCCAAACATCCGTCGCGACAACTTATGTTATATATATTGGTGACCAGAATCCCAACGCTTCTTGCAGCGCTCTAAATTCTTTTTTGGAGATGATGGTGTGATTCGGTGCTATTGTAGAATGGTTAGATGGTTTGTTCGCCACACGTACAACATTTTTCAATATTGCGTTTGCTCGGGTTTGTTTGCAATATTTGTTTAATCAAGTTGGCGATGTTATTTTCCGCGTCGATTGTATACGAGAGGATCTTATTTGTGATGTGTTCCTGATTTGTGATTCTTTGTGTTTTTGGTATACAACAATCGATTAAAATTTGTGCTCTTTGAGCCAACAAATTCTTTGATACGCCATTTGTAATAAAATTGTACACAAAATTTAGCGTACAATTTGTTGCTTTCTGCAAAAATCGGTGATATTCAACGTTATCGATCCCTGCTGTCACTAGTATTTGGACAATGGAATCGAATGAGCAGGTATTCTGTTTCTGTTTCAGTATTCTGTTTGTTCTTTATCAATACATAAAAATCTCAGCACTACTTAAATCCAGTGTGTTTCTTCAGATTTAGCTATCAAAAAAATGTTTATATTTGCTTTAAACTTATGTTTACTACCGAGTCTTGGCTTTCAATTTAGCAGATTTTAAAACAGAAAACTGAAACCTTTATTAAAACATGAGATTTTTGTCAAACTCCCAAATGATTATTGTTAAGAATAATAAAAAAATATTCAGTATCAACTCAGTGCCGCTGACCTTTTAATGTCTGTTTAAAAAATTAGTAATTTAGTACAAATAGCAAATAAATGTAAATAAACTACTACTACGTAAGAAATCTAAATAATAATGTTTGTCGCTACATTTTAAATATTTATCTTAATTAATTTTGAATTTAAGGTGATTTATATACTTAAATGAATAAATTGTTTAATGCTTAACCGACTAAAAAATAATAGATTTTTTTGCGATCAATGTTTTTAACAGTTTTTAATGTAAATAATGGTTAAATATACTAAATATACTAAATATGGTTCTTAGCTTTTATTTAAGAAACGGCGATTTAACAAACGTTCTAATTAGTATATTCGTGACCAACAAACAATTTTGTGTCGATTGACCTTCTGCAAAACTTAAATAAAATTGAAATTAAAAACTGAGGGCTAACTTCACGGTTATTTTTAATTTTTGTTTTGCAGCCAGAGGCTGAGCTAACAAACGTTTTAGTTAATCTAACAATCACCTACAAACGACTTACAAACGATCTAAAAAAAAAAATCAAAAAATCAAAATCGGGGGGCCAAGTTCACGGAGCT